AAGTCCATGTTGTATCAGAATGTTGTCGCTACGTTGTCGATGTCAAGAGTGTCAACATTCTCTCAATGTTGATAGCTAATGTTGCAATGACATTCGTAGAAGTGTCGCAGCAACATTCCAAGTGAAAACATTGAAGCAATGTTTTCTCAATGTTGTACAGCAACTTGCAACATAGAGCAACATAGGCAACATTTCGGAAACGTTTCATCAACATGCTGTGTTACTTGGGATATTAGTGTTCGCATTCAGACATATGGCATATAGACTTTGTTTGGTTCAGTTGCAATTTGGTTTTAGTTTCAGTTCAGACTTTGGACATACTCACTACTCTCGAAACGAAATCCTCACTGGAACAGCAACTGAACTAAAACTGGAACTGAATAGCAACTCAACTACGACTGGACTGCAGTTTTTAAATCAGCCATATTTTTCCGTTATTTGCTCTGGATGTCACTCCGCAATCAAGGCGAAGTAAGTTTCGCTGGGGAGGTCTTTTCGCGATCAGTGTTCTTTCACTTCTCTTTAACTCTATTATTCTGTTATTAAGAAATAAAACAATGAAGGAAAGGCGGAAGGGTGCTGTTGCTTCACCTCCGCTCATTTCCTTTTGGAATGGTGGATGAATTCCATTGAATGTTAGAAAGATTTGTTTACATGCCTCAGGCCTCTGTCCTTGATGGAGTCAAAGGGGGGGGGGGGAGGCAATATCAAGGAAAATAAGGTCAGGGAGAAAGGTCGTAAGAATCTCTGGACTATGAACTTCTATGGACCCAGCGCAATTGGGGAAAAGGCGGTCAATCCATCGCTTCTGCCCTCTAAGGTACTTTTCTTCGTTTTTAGCTTACATATGCCATGTAATGCAGTTGGAGAATTTAGCACACACGGGAGGAGCATCAGCGGTGGGATTCGAAGTGGGATTCAACCTGGCATTCGGCATGAGCTTCCTCGTCTCGGGCATGGTCATCTTCCTCATCCGGGAGCGGGTGACGAAGTCCAAGCTGCTGCAATACGCGTCGGGTCTTCGCTTTTGGCTCTACTGGGCCTCCGCCTTCATCTGGGACTTTGCGGTGTTCATGGTCACCGTGGCTGGGATCTACCTCGTCTTCGTCCTCTTCAAAGAGGATGGATTCACCAAATCCGAAGAGCAAGGTAAAAGCCTGCATTCAATCAGACGGGGCAAGTCCAATGCAGTTGTGAATGAAGAGAACTTGAAAGTGGCAAAGTTAGGTCGGTGGAGAGATCCAGAAGGGAGCGAGTGAAGGCTCAGGGGAGGGAGTGGGAGGTTTTGCACTGAAACATTTATTCCCTCTCGGCTCATATCTCAGTACTAGTACTTCGCATTATCAAAATTCGCAATAAAATGACAGGAACCTCCCAAAAAAAGATTATCACCTGTATTCGTGTGTGCATTTTAATCTTCACTGCGGTCAAGGCAACATTATTTTTGCTTCTATCTTACTGTCAGACGAAGATAATAGGGGAAGAGTGAAACCCATTCGGACAGAACGAGACTACAAGAACCGATAAAGAAGTCGTGAAGCCCTTTATTTATTGAAAAATATTCAAGTCACAGAGTAATATTATTTCTGACATTTTCCTCACGCGTTCATCGTTCTGGGTTTGATGTAAGTGAGGGAAGGGAAGGATCATATTCCGATTATTTGCGCTCCACGTTCCTCTAGGTCTCTCTTACGGAATAGGAATATTACGCTTTCTCCTTGCCTGTTCAAGTTGCAAGTTCCTGAAATAGTGGTTTGACACGTGCTCACCTAACGGTACCCTGTATGTACATGTACTATACTACGTATATGCATGTCTATGCAGCGAGGATCGTGCTGTTGTTCGCGGCCTACGGTTTTGCCGTGATCCCCATGACGTACCTCGCCTCGTTCCTTTTCACCATCCCCGCCACCGGATACACCCGAATGAGCATGTTCAACATCTTCACTGGTGAGTTTCCCTGTCGCCCTCCACCCTCCCCAGGGCAAGTGCAAGCACTCTGCTTTTCTCCACGACAGGGGTCGCTGCTCTGTTGACGGTGGTGGTCCTCCAAATCCCGGATTTGGATTTGGTGGACGTGGCGGACACTCTGGAGTGGGTATTTCTGATTCTCCCTAATTTTGACCTGGGCATCGGAATCAACTACCTCTATAGCAATGGGAGGATCAACGAATTGTGTCCCAATTCTTGTATGGACCTGGAAATACCTGGACTCGGGCTCTTGAACTTATCTTTGGAAGAATGCTGCGAATGTGCCCAGATGTTCAATGTCTCCAATCCCTGCTGTGGACGTGAGAAATGAGAATTTCACGTCTTTCCTCTTTAATGTCTACTCAAAGGCTTTTTCCATTCCTGATTCAGAGGATATGACTCTCTCTCGAAGAAATAGAAAACCTCAATGTTCACATTTTTTGCGGTGCTCGCTGATTCTATAACATTTCTCAACTGAAATCAATTATACTTATTTCATTAACTCGGATATTCAAGAGGAGTAATTAATTATTGCATTGAATTATTGATTCCTCCTCATTGGAGAATAATATTTTTCTCCTTCCAGCGGTGACGGGCTTTTGTGGCTTTAATCTGACCTGCCTGGACTGGTCGACTAATTTCTTCGCTTTTAAAAAACCAGGAGTGGGAAGAATGGTTTTAGCCTGCGTCTTCTTGGGCGTTTTCTTCTTCTTTCTCCTTACCCTCATCGAAATCAAGTTCCTTTCTCACATCTACAATCTCCTCAAGGATCGCCTTAAGAATCGTGGACGTGAGTCTTTCCCTACAGCGAATCTGTGACCGGTGTGGAGACCGGGATATTTATAAAAACTAATTTTTTTAATCGGTCACGTCATTGTAAACGTCGACAAAAAAAAAGTACGCTCCATATTTTGGAGGATGGAATCCGAGGCGAATTTCAAAGAAGTTGTGATTCATTTAGTGCTGTTCCCGATTGCTTTGCCCTGAGTTCCCAGGTTCATTCTCTAAACATGAGTAATTCCATCCTTAAATTGTTCCAAAACGCTTTGAAGACCTGCATATACAGTGCAATATTAGGAGGTTCTAATAGGTCTTGGACAATGTTGACCGGACAATGGCCAAATAAGAAAATATAGCACTCATTATTTTGGCGTCCTCTCTGCATATGTAAAAATATTCATCTGTTGTATTAGATTTGTAAAATCAACAATTTTACCACATACTGAGATTTCGCATGGAGGCGAGGGTGAAAAGTTGCACGAAGAAGGGGTTGTTGGTATGTACCCCTTACCATCATCATCACCATCATTACAAGAGTTTATGCTCTCTGTCGCGAAAGTTTATTTTTACGTTCACGTGCCCTTGTGTTTGGAGACATGTTCGAATGAAATTAGAGGGTAAAGGAGCGGCATTCAGACCAGGGTTGCATTCGCTGCTTCTAGTGACGCAGGGATGCAGAATCATTGCCCCCTGGAACTGCGGAATCATTCTGCTGTTCCAGGGAGCAATATTCACTGTGCATCTGGAGTACATATGCACACCATTTGAATATGGGACGAACGTGACTGGTATTGTATCTGTCTCGCAGTTTCATACTTAGCTAAAAGGTCGGAGCTCGTATATTTGTTTTTGGAGACTCGGTGGTTAATTCCTTTTTTTGGTACCTGAGTCTTCGTTTTTTGGTGGAAGTTGATATCAGGAAGAATTCACTGATGAATTTTGTTCATAAATAGGTAAAGAATGGCCATCTAAGAACGAATTGGAAGACGAGGACGTATCGGAAGACGAGGACGTATCGGAAGACGAGGACGTAGCCAAGGAACGATCACGAATCTTACAAACGCGCAAGGAGGAACTCATTCAAAGCGATAATCTCATCCTCTAGTCAGTTCCGAATTTTCGTCTCTGCAAATTTTTCAAATCTCAAGCGAAGTAAAAATGTGAATTTATTTTCGATGAAAATCTTGATTTGATTCTTAATTTTCCTTGCAATTTTTAAAGTCACTTCATATGGGGAAAGGTTCTATAATTTCAAAGTGTACCAAACGGTGTTTGACGCGTTGAGCAGAGCATTTCCCCTTGAAGAATTTGTACCCATACAGTGGAGAAAAGGAAGGCAATAAGAAACCAGACAATGAAGACTAAGGGTGGATTTTTGAGCAGAGAGCTATCCGATAATGCTGCTTCTATTTCCAGGAAATATCTTTTCCCTGGAATACAGTTGCATTATCGGATAGTTCTCTGTTCAAAAATCCACCCTAATTCCCTTTCCCAACCTCAACATGTAAAGAACGACTTTCTCAAGGATTATCTCTCTTCTCTGAGATGTCTGTGACAAAATGTTAAAGCAAGTTTTCAGTCTAGCATGCATAGAAGGGCATCCTCTAAGGAAGAGATGAGTACTGCCTCTAATGTGGCTCATCGGATCGAGAGGGACACCAAGTAAAATTTCATGAGCACCAGAGCGTTAGTCAATATTAGCTTGCAGGCGGACAGGATCTATCGATAGTTGGATTTCTACCAATCCGCGGGAAAGATATATTGAAGTCTTTTTCAATACAATGGCAACCATGAATCTATGAACCAACCCATGAAGTGGTTAAATTCTTGATAAAAGGGTTTCTGCTTTAATTTTCGCATTGACGTTTGTTTCTTGTTTGCTTTTCTTCCACTTTACCGTCGGCGAAACCGGAGTGTGTTGATATTTGACGAGGCGGGGTAATGACTCCAGTTGCCCAGCATACTCATACTTTTCCATGAACGGGTCAATGAATACAGGAGTCATTTCCGAATAAAAATCATTCCTTCTATACCGAGGAAGGAAAAGGGACTTCGGCTTCACTGTCTGGTTTCTTTGTGTTCCTCCTTCCCTTCCTCCTCTGTCTAGATGTGGATTCCTTTTAGGAGAATGCTCACCCTCTGCTCGTCACATCCACGGATGCTCTCCTTTTCTAGCACATAGGGTCAGAATCAAGTTGGTTAGGTATATTGTATCAGCATTTTACTGGCTGCGGCAAGTTACAATGATGAGTATTTAATTGGAAGCTCTTTCGGCAGCAACCTGACCAAGTTCTACGATGACTTTCTGGCCGTGGACCGCCTGTGTCTGGGAGTGCCAAAAGGAGAATGCTTCGGCCTGCTAGGTATCAACGGAGCCGGGAAGACGACGACGTTCAAGATGATCACGGGCGACGAGCCCATCTCCCACGGGGATGTCTACCTAAATCAATTCTCAGTCCGGCGGGACGTGAAGAGCGTGCAGCAGCGCCTGGGCTACTGCCCACAGTTCGACGCCCTCATCGACCACATGAGTGTGGAGGAGACGCTGTGGATGTTCTCCCGATTGAGGGGCATCCCCGAGTCCGACATCCGGCCCCTCACCCAGAGTCTCATCTCCGACCTTCTGCTTAAAAAACACAGCCAGAAACTCGTCCGGGAACTCAGGTCATTTCTTACTTTGTACCTCTTGAGCACTTCAGACTTTCAAAAACGAGTTTCCTTTTGCATTTTTACACACCCGTACAATATTCTCCTTGTCTTCCTCTGTCTACCACAACGCAGGGAAGTTAGGGGTAGACCATGCCATTTTGCATGTTCCCAGATTTTTCAGGTACGAAAAATGACGAAAATTATAGCTGCCACTTTAAAGAATGACACGTAGGAAACTCTTGATTCGGATCAAAATCCCAAATCGTTTATTGTCTTAAAACACCTCGAGTGAGCAGTATTAGAAAATTGTCATTCACGACTGGAGGTAATTTTTTTGCGTTCCTTCAAAGACGAAGAGTTCTGGCGAGAAAAGGAATGGAAGGCACAATCAAATATCTCATGAGGGCCTCACTGGACATTAGCCGTCGGTTTGCCAATTATGTTGAATTACGCCGATGATGCTTGAACCAGTAATGGCCCAATAATTATTAGCGATAAACCAGTCATGCCATGCATGTGCCCTATTGGGCCAAGAGAAATTGCTACCTGCGTTGTCGAAGTCGATCTTCAAAAAGGTATACTCAATGTTTGGCTTCAAGAAGATAATTTGTCTTACAAGTGATTCTCTCGTTTCCAAGACCCTTCTTAAATAGTCTCAGGTGTCGGAATCTAATATCAATATCCACTTTCTCTATTACATTACTTTCTCTTATTATTTTAATTTCCATTTATTTAAAACTAATTACTTCCGTTGTTCTACTTTCAACTCTATTATATATTCGATAACCGATTGCATTTCAGCGGCGGGAACAAGCGGAAGCTGAGCACCGGAGTGGCGCTGATCGGCGACCCCCCGATCACGTTCCTCGACGAACCGACGACCGGGATGGACCCCGTCGCCAGGCGACTCCTCTGGGACTCCATCGCCCGGGTCCGCGACTCTGGGCGGTCCATCGTTCTCACCTCGCACAGGTGAGTCACGAATGTCTGTAAATCTTTTCGAGGCCAAACTGTCGAGTCATTAAAAAAGTAATTATTTATCCAGCAAAAATCTGAAGGTATTTTAGTGCTACCTCTTGACTGCTCGTTCTTATGGTAAATGAGATTTAAAGAAATAGAACACGATTTTATAGCAGAAAACTCCTGTCTCTCCCTGGTTATTGCAGCAACTTCACATCAAGCAGGGAAGAGTTTTATCAGAAATTTATTACTTATAGGCATAAGTAATCGATAGGAACTAATCGAAAGGGCCATTTCGGAGTGATGAGACCTTAAATCATCACCTATCGCATCCCGATTGCATTTCTGCACCGTTGCAGTGATTATAAATTTTGTATGCTCATGAAGAGTAGTCACTTGTTCTGGTAGACTATTCGTTGTCCGAAGTTGTTCAGGTGGTACAAAGGGACTAGAATAGAGAGTAGAGAATAAAATTCTCTTCAGAAACTTAAAGGACTCTCTATGTCGACAGGCAAGAACCGGACTGAGAAGAGCCGAAAGGCGATGCAAAAGGGACAGACGCCCAGCAGCTAATTTTCGATCCGGTCGTTGGCTTTGTCTAAGTCCAGTATCTTTTCACCGTGGAGGGGAATGTAGGTGGAACTTGAGGCTTTCCGGTTTTCCACACTCACTGAGGTAAAATAAAATATTGATGGAAAAGCCGGAATTCCGCCAACAATCCAAATTATAGCGTTGAAATGCACTGTGACCCGAGTCGTCACAGTGCAAAATAAATTCAATGCTTTGTGTCATGACTCCGGTCACGATGAGCGAATTAAATTCACGGTTTCTCAACCCTCTCAGTCATCACGTTATTCAAATATGTGAGCATAATGTGAAAATGGAACAAGGGACGAAGTTTAAGGTAACGGTTACGAAGTGTCGATTCGTTGCACCGATCGGAAAATAAAATTTTCTTCTGAGAGGCAGTCAGATTTTCCATCGCTTGACTCATCTCGACAAAATGGATCGGGCGAGGCGACTGAAACGGTGGGTGGGCCGCAAGGCCGCCTACCTGCTGCGGTCTTGCCTCCGCGGGGACGACATGGAGCACCCCGTCGGGGGTGACGGAACACAAGGAGAAGTTATATTCCAATGTTTCGTGTCATGACTCGGGTCAACGACTTATATTCCCGGTTTCTCGAGTCTCTCGATCATCACGTTATTCAAATACGTGAACATAAATTGTGGGTATCAGCTTAATCTATCCCGAAAGAAATGAACTGTAACGATATGCCTTGAGGGTGATCCCGGAAGAGGCTTTATTACAATAGGAGTAAAAGAATTTTCGATCTAGGAGTTAAAAATAAATAATATAATAAACAATATCACTAAACGAACCATGTCAGAGAGATGCACACGATGCATTTTCAGCATGGACGAGTGCGAAGCCCTGTGCACGCGCCTGGTGATCATGGTGAACGGGAGGTTCCAATGTCTGGGGTCTCCCCAGCACCTCAAAGGGAAGTTCGGTCAGGGCTACACGCTCATCGTCAAGTTGAAGCCCGAGAATCTTTCGAGGGAAACCGGAGCTGTCAGGCCCAGCACCACCGCCAGTGTCCTCCAGGTCTCTTTCCTCTTTCCTCCTCTTTATACGAGATGGACGCAAGGAGAGCTAGGGGCTAACTTCCTCTCAGATGCTCCGTGCTTTGTTTTTGTGGAAGGGAAGCAATAGCAATGAAACTTGATGTTGACGCCGAGGGACCTTTTGTTTATAATACGCGTGAAATAGCGTGCTTTATTAAATTCGTACCGCCATGTGGTGGATCGGATCCCTCGAGAACCTATTCAAAATTTTCAATGGAAAATTCCTGCCTGCCTCCATGGGATCATCGATATTTCTAGACTCCAACCGTGGTTTCACCTTCGGTGTGATGGAGCCAAAAGGGGAGGAAAAGACAAGGTTTCGCATCTTGCCGTGCTTATTCCTCCAGATATATAATATATTTGACGTTAATAGAGGAGAAAGATGGACGAATTTGCATTTTGCAAATAGTTTGCGATCTTTCGACCAGTTTTTCCCACGAGACAAAGAAAAAAAGAGACCTTTATGGTTTTGAATCATGGTCCCGGAGACTTTCCTGCTGGTGTATGTGCCACGTATGTGTTCGCGTCAGGAAAACTGCATGAACCCATTATTTACAATAGAGGGCGCCTGATTTTTCCCCCTTCTCGCGACAATGCATCAATCCACCACAATGAAATTTCCCATCGCACCAAATGGAGACTCTCTCACGTCTCGGGGCGAGGATAGAAACAACTGTTTTATAGCTAAATTGATCCAAATTAAACATCTAAATATTTATTTGTGACTTTAAAATTATGGGTTTTGTCGACTAAGCGAGGGATTAGTTAAGCCTGATTGCTTTTGTTCTTCACAATTTCATCTTTGTCCGTGAGACGAAAATGTTTCTCAATCTCTGTCGGCCCGACTGGGATCATGACATTAGCTAAATATCTGGACCATGGCCAGTATGCAATGCCGCCCAAAAATTCTCATAATAAAATAATGAAAATCTAAAGGAATAGGGCCACGTTGTGTCGATGGAAGGGTTAAAGCTGGTTGTTTGGATCGGACAGAGACGGAGCAGCAGCGCGAAGGCGAGGGGAAGGCGATCGAGCAGCCTGAAGGAGAGGGTGGACGAGGAGCCCACCACCAAGCGACTTCACGAATACGTCATGGAGAAGTTCCCAGGTCTGTCCCGCATCTGCCTCCATCCAGGAGAAAGTTTCGTGCTCGGTGCCGATGCTCCTCGCGGTCGGAGGAGGAAACGACGGAAGAGGTTCCGTCGTAAATC